GGGGGGGGGGGAGGATCTGTAACGGGTATTGTGAGCTAATGCATGTGTTTCGTGTATTATTTCAAGCGCTGTGCGCGATTTTATACGTGATACGTGAGGGCCGGCCTGAGTTTCAGTGGGGCGCGCGAGGCTTGCATGCTCCAAGTTTCGATGTGTTTTCGTCGACGTGATGCTCGAACGATCGCGTGCTGATTGGGCGGCATTTGTCGGTCTACTGTCGGACCGCTCCACTTGTAAGATCGAGTATAGAATACATTGATTGCAGGACTTGTAGCCCGGCGCGACGACGACGTCGTGTGTTCTCCTCCCCCGCGCGTGTTCGCTGTCTGTGTCGTGAAAGTTATCATCTCGGTGGATGAAGTTTGCACTTTTCCGCGCACGTAAAGAGATCATCACCGAAGGGCAAGGCGAGAGGAGGAATAAGAAGAAGTGGCGGCAAGCGGGACGGGGCTATATAATTTATGACGCGGGAGGAATCGATGGTGACTCAACTAATTCGCCCACCCGCCGTTCTTCGACAGTTTTTTCCCCCAGATTTTCGACGATGCCGATAAGACGCACGGCAAAATGTAATTAAACAGCGGAGACTGGATAACGATCTCGCGCGCGCGCGCGTTGGAATTTGCATCTAAGATATAAATTATTCGCGTGCGGTCCTATTCATTTTTGGAAAATGAATAAATGTCGGACAAGCGAACCAAGGCCGTAAATTAAAAATGAATCTAATTAATTTCGTTGAAATGATATACAATTATTTTGTTATTTTATTACATTTTTTATGGCACACACGATTCCGGGAACAATCGTAATTAAATATCAATAAAAAATAAAATTGCGATGTATTATTTTTCACTGCATGTACGCGTGCTTAATGCGCATTTGCGTGCATAAAAATATTTATCGTGTCCAAAGGTTTACGGCGTTGTCGGTGAGATATGTATAGAGATGCGATGGAAGATTGTTTATTGAAAAACGATACTTGCTATCTTCATATTTACAAAATCACCCATTTTCCAATTATCCGAACGGACCTTTCACGTTTCGATATCGCGAACCTCATAAAACGCGGATACAAGGGAATTTACTTGAATCGAGTCGCGACATCCAGAAGCTAACCGTTTCTCTATTTTTGCCAGTTTGCACAGTAGATCCATAAATAACAAATCGGGAAAATCAACTAGAAAATAGACACTTGTTAATAATTGGAAATAACATCGGATAACATATATATGTATATGTTAAAAGAGATAACTTACTCTTAATTATACATGAGTGAATTTCCGTCAATATATCCTGCAAAGCGAGTCCTTTGTTCAATTTTAACTCTTGAATATCTGTGTAACATATCAAGGATCATTTACTTTCCGTTGTTGTAGAAGATAGGACATTTTCATCATTTTATAAAAGGATACTTTTGTAACATGTATCATAGGGCTCGTTTAGCAGCCAGTTTACAATTTTACGTATGTCACTCGGCAATGGATGTCCAACGCAGTTGTACACATTCTCCTCGTTCACCACACCGTAGGCAAACGATGTACTTTGAAGTACACTTATCACTTTCCTCATATCACCGCCGCTCAGTGTCATTAACGCTTGCTTCCCATCTTCTGTAACATTTAAGCTACAAAATGCTCCTCATCAGCAAACTGTACATAATATAGTTCAACACAAATTACAAATAGAAACAACAAGAGAATATAATAGTACAGTGTCCCCAAAAAATGTCTACACACTTTGAATAATTATAAAGTCAGCGTTCATTGACATACAGTTCATTTTCAAAATTTAAAAGAATCTACAGAAATGAATAATTTTGTTCTGTCAACACCTGTTTTCAAACTGATGACCGTTCTGGTCCAGGCACTGCAGATATATATTACAAATATATTACAAGAGAATCATCAGATGTCAACTAAAAAATCTACTTACTTCTCCATCTTGATGACATGATTCAACCTCGGTATGATTTGCTCTGATGCGAGCGGTAGGAATCTAAATCTCGTACAACGAGACTGCAGAGGCGGAATGATTTTACTGAGGTAGTTGCATATAATGCAGAAACGTACATTATCCGTATACTTCTCGATAACTGGAAATAACAGATGTGAGAAATACAACAATTCATGGTTTGTTTATTGAGATCACTTTACTTACTTCTTCTGAGTGCATTCTGGGCATCGTTTGTCATGGCATCTGCCTCATCCAGAATGATTAGCTTGAACGCAGATTTATACATAGTACCTGTGCTGGCGAAGCTCAAGATCTGGCCTCGTACGATACCTATGCCTCTGTCATCGGAAGCATTTAATTCCAGTACCTGTAACATGTAATAAGAAAATGATCGCATAAGTGAAGCAAGAGAACGTTTGCAGTTGCTTAACAATAGTTGAGCCACCATTGAATTGAATTGAGCTGGAGTATAAAGTTTATGAGCGCAAGCCAATATAGTGCTAGTCTTTCCTGTCCCGGGAGGCCCATACAGAAGGAGATGAGGCAGCTGGTTTTCATCGATAAACTTGTTTACTGTAATAAACAGATTCTCACATACACATTTGCTACATACAATTTACAAACCTGCTATACAGAATATTCATAATTATACTCACTTGTTTTTATTATCGTCTCATGAGAAATAAGTTCGTCTAAATTTTTGGGACGATACTTCTCGACCCTGAAACACAGTTTTCAGTCATCATCACTGCACTGTTAACATCACGAGCATTACACTTACCATGGTAGATTCGCGAGTTGTTCACCATTAGACGCCATCGTGTCAGTAGTGCGAAGTCGCTATCTTGTAATTTGTATGTTGAATAATTACACGAGGTTATAATTTACCCACGCGATTGGCATGCAACTGAGGTAGGTAGGGTGATGAGAATTTTGAAATGCCGCACGACTATTGGCTGACACGCGCGTAGGAGACGACATGTTTCAAAAGTGTAGTATTTTCGTTGATCGACAAGTATTCGTGCGGTGGAAATTTCATATTTTAACAAGATAAAAACAGATAATGAGATGAATGTTAAAAGTTACAGACGGGAGACATCGCGTTATTGAATTACGGACTTCGAATCATTTGTCAACAGACAATGGTCATTCCGCCCCATCGTAATTTTGCTGAAAGTGTGTGATGTATGTATCAACTAACATTTATCGGTTTTTAAAAGCAAATTTTGTATTTTTCACGTGAAAACTCATTGACAGTTGATTAAAGGGACATTTAATGAAGTCATTAGAAGACTAAGTAAAAGTTATGATTCAAGCGTCAACAACAAGTTAACCTAAATGTTTGTTTTGAAATCATATTTCAGGAACAGGAATTCTCGCTGATATACGACGGATAAGCATCATGGCTCATCGGATTTTCCGAGGAATTCCCAGAATGACGATGAATCGTTCCCCGGAAATAGTACGAAATTTCGAGTATCTGCTTGTGATGGACTTTGAAGCTACATGCGAAAAGGACCAAATGTTCAGACCGCAGGAGATCATAGAGCTACCATGTGCAGTACTTTCCACCCGCGACTGGAACGTAAAAGACATTTTCCACGAATACATTAGGCCTAGGATTCATCCTAAGCTCACGCCATTTTGCACGGAATTGACGGGAATCATGCAAGATATGGTGGAAAATCAGCCTTCCTTCCCAGATGTGTTTTCGAGATTCTGCGAGTGGCTGGCGAAGAGAGGATACTTCGACGAATCGGACAAAAGTACATTCGTAACGTGCGGTAATTGGGACTTGAAAGTCATGCTGCCGAATCAATGCAATTTGGATGATATCGCGTTGCCGGATCAATTTAAGCAATGGATAGATCTCAAACACACGTTCAGTGAATTCGTTATGTATTATCCCAGAAGTCTGCAAGATATGCTGGCACGATTGAATCTTCCATTGCAAGGGCGTTTACATTCGGGCATTGATGATGTGAAGAACATGATCACTGTGATTCAAGCGTTGCAAGAAAAGCACAATGCACAGTTCAAAATTACTTCGTCATTGGCAACTTCCGTGTTAAATTTGAAGTATAAAGAGAACACAGTAAAGAAGAAAGTTCAGTGAAAGAGGATACGCAGTAGCTTGTAGAAAATTGGTCTATTAATAAAAAATATTGCTCTTATATAAAATCCATTGATTACAGCAACGAGAGTCGAGAGAAATAAATATTCTGATCGCATCGCAGGATATTTCATCACTGTCGCTTCACGCTCACTTGAATCAACACATCTTTCTTATTATTCTCCGTATAAATCTCGAGCACATCCTGCATGTTACGTTCTATTCTCTGCGAACATTGTATCTTCAGGGTGAAAAGTGTCCTGCTAGGAAGCGTTCCTTCTGCGGGAACAACGCTGAGATAATTCGGGCTCGACAGATTGGTCTGGAATGGTTGGGGCACTTTGAAGAAGCTGAAAATAGTCACGGTCGCCTCATTGCATACCGGGGGATTTAAAGTGACAATGGGTGGATTTACGGTGAAATGATCCTCCCGTGAGTCGTGATGTGAAGCTTCGTATTCACTCATGGTTCTGTAAGTAAAAGCATTTATTTTAACAAGAGAGAGAAAGAGAGGTTTTGTTTCAATCATAAAATAGTTAAAAGACTTTAAAGCGATATCGGGAGAAATACACATATGCGAATGAACACAACTTACTGCGAAGAGAAGAAACTTGCTCCGCCCACTTCATCCATGTGACTGTTATCACTTATCAAAGAATAATACATTTGTGATTCATCATCATTGTCATGAAGAATGGGCAAAGTGTCATCGTCCGCGCAAGCCTCCACTGTGAGCATTATTTCGTACTGCTGAACTCCGGTACAAAGGTCATTTAGGCTTTGCTATTTATTAAATATGAAAAAAGGATTGCGCACTGTTAGTTTGAGTAGTCACCTATGAGCGATAAAAAAACGAATAGCTTCGTACTCACAACGGGATCGCGTATCAATGTTAAACCAGAGATCAACTGCTCCCCGGAGAAAGTTTTACAAATGGGATGCACGACGTTTTTGAACGTTTCATTTTCATTTCCAGCCAACTCACCCGACTCTTTTATCTTATTGTACAATCTGAAGGAAGAGTGTTTTTTTTTTCATCGAGAACCAAAATGGTATGTCAACATACATGCCAATTTATGTCGGCAATATATAATGCATTCTATTTACCTACGTATTCGCCACCGGGTCGGCTCATCCCCGTAAACGATATTTATCGTCGCGACATGCGACACATCTGCAACGCAATGTTGCAATATCGCAAAGTCTTCCTTCTTAGGATAGAATTCTACTGACACTTGTCGAGATTCTTTAGGACTAAGTATTAATTCTGTTGGACTTACGCGCCAGCTAGAATCCATTTTTGGAGAATTAACTGAAACACAAAAATATATAT